GGGGGGGTGCTATATTATACACGTGTGTGACCTACGTAGGTGGGGGTGGGGCAAGCCAAGACGCTCTGGGAACCTGGGAACGCATCATCGGCTTGAACTATAGCGAGGCGGTATTGTAAGAGATGGGGGAGTTGAGGGGAATAAGGGATACTGTCAGGTTCCAGCAAGGTACAATGAATCAAATTTTTGCTGTGGAAAACTGAGGTGACGAGCATTTACTGCTGAGTTTTTCCTCCATCACTTCCAATATTTTCTTCATAATCTTAGTTTCAGTCGTGTCATCTATTTCTGGAATACGAAATATTGAACCACTGACGCCTTCAATTCAGCACTCAGCAACTAAAGCGCAAGCATTTCAGAACTGTTGCTCCATGAAGGGCTGCTGATATTTTAAGGACGGTCCCTCTGGAGCTTGTGCGCGCGATACGTACCGGCTTTGACAACGTTGCCGCGAGCAGTCGGAGGGTTGGAGAGGGAAGAGAGGGGAAAAGGGAGGGTGTGCGCGTAAGGGTGGAGGGGACAGAGCAGTGGGGTAGGTTTGGAAGCACGCCCCGCTCAACAGGGAGGTGGGAGTGCATGACGGACTAGCAGGGTGGCAGAGGGGTGAGGGAAACGCGCGCTAGAGAGGAAAAGAGAGGAAAAGAGAGAAAGAGAGAGAGAGAGAGAGAGAGAGAGAGAGAGAGAGAGAGAGAGAGAGGAGGAGGGGGGATGAATTTGTACTTAAATTTTGAATTAAAGGAACATCCTCCTTTGGTCGGTCTTTAAATTTAATTCCGAATCGAAACTTCGGCTGTCCGCTGTTGCAGTTTCGTATCATTTTGTCATAATTTCCATCACGATAATTTCGGCGCGTAGTTCGCGTTTACTTAATTTTATTATGTGCTATTTAATTATTTCGTGCACAGATGTACCACATATTTCGCAAGTAGATGCCCCCTCGATTTAAAACTTAAGATGTGTTAAATTTGTGCTTCTTTTTGAGAGCGAGTTTTTGAGCGGACGCGGGGTTGCTAGGTGAAAAAGCACGACGTTCTTCTACCTTACTTGCCTCTCCACTACTTTTCCTCTTCCTTTCCGGTCGCGTGGATGTCCACGCGCCTGATGAGCACCCCTAATCTCTATCGGAAGGCAACCCCTTCCCCTTCTCTCACTTTCTTTCTTCCGTTCTTTCTGTCTCTCTCTCACACAAAGGCGCACGAGCACACATACACATATGCATACATACATAAATACATGCATGCATACACAGACATACATCCATTGCATACATACTAATAAAATGGTTAAAACTCGACTGGATTGTAACTGTACAAATAAAATTTTAGAAAGGGGCTATGCTATTTATTTCTGAGAACTTTACTGTGCATGCAATTGCGGCGGAGTGCATTGAAACACTTCAGTTGAGTAACGGTCAGAACCATTAAAAAAATCCCAATGCCTTTTAAACATCGAGAGGTAAAACGAAATAAAAAAGATTCCATACATGGGCACAAGAACAAAAAGTTTCAAATCACCCGTTTCAGAGCCTCGTGCACTTTCACAAAGAGAAAGGAGAGGGGGAGAGGGTGACTGTACGGGTTTGAAATGGCTTTAGATTTCGTGGACTTCAAAAGGCAAGGCTCTCTTCTCTTGCAAGACGCAGAGGGGAGGGCTAGCGGGTTGAATGCAGGGGGACCGTTGGAGCCGAGGGGTGATCCGCGCTCATTTGCAGAGCCAAGGGGTCGTGCCGCAGGGATTCAGGTCATGTCGACCTCAACACGATCGGGGAGTTTCCTCATTTTATTCTTCTTTTATTCTCGAAAAGAAAATCTGCGTTCATACCGACCAAACGCGGTCACCCATTTTCACGTTGTTATAATTTTAATTGCAAGGAAATATTGACGAAAACAGCAATCGTCGGAAAGCTCACATGTTTAAATATGTAGGCAAACACAAAACATGTGCTAAACTGCGCGGCAGTGTGGTGGGTCAGTGCGTCCCATTGATGTTTCCCAGTAACCTGTTGCCGTGCGATTGCGCTCGCACGCGAGCCCCACCCGGTGACGTCGAGTATCGAACTCGAATCGAACGGATCCTCATTTGGTCGAATGATAGACTGGATCGACAGATGTCTGTAATTTGGAAATAAGGTCCTCCGGCGGCGGGGCCCGCCACTCTCGGCCCCGCCCCACCCCGGCGTCCAATAAACTCTGCCAGTTATCGGAAAGGTCCCAGCCAGCGGCCCATTTTCTCCACAAAAACGGCAGCAGCAGCAGACATCGGCCAAAAGTCGCCAAGGAAAGTCCCATTCATAATTGTAAAAGTGACGGGTTTGCAGTCGTGATCACGGCCTGCAACTGCAACACGAACCCTTTTCATTACAACTCGCCTACTCGGGGGGCGACTTGTGGCACCCGTAATCATAGGGATTGTGACGCTGACGCTGACCTGACCTGGCTAGAGCGCCACCACGGCAAAGTAACGGCACTGTTTCTCAGAGCGGCGTGTGCGTTTCATTCATGATCACGAGGACCACTCCGGTCGCATTTCCTATGGCGTTTGAAGAAAAGTCCAACCGTTATAGGAGAATAAAGAAGAAACCGATTTGAATTGGACATCACTGTTGTGATAACACGAAATAGACGTCCACCTATTGGTGCGGAATCTGTTCATCTGTTTTTAGAGTTTTGAACATATTACTTAGCTTCAAATTTTCATACTGTGCAGTTGTTCGTCAACCTATATGTATATTTTTTGCGAGACCTTACAGAGGGAATGAGGCTAGTCAACCGACGCGCGCGCCGGTCCCTACACCGACAAAGGGTTGAGCATATGCACGAAATAGGCCACGCGGATATGCCCCCCCCCCCTTCCTCTCCTTTACAAAC